GAGGGAGAGGGAGAGGGAGAGGGAGAGGGAGAGGGAGAGAGACAAGAATATAGAGGAGGATGTTTGTGTGTCTCTGGGAGCAAAAGGTAATTGGTATATCTAGGTTGGGAATTGGATTACACCTCTGATTGTATGGGCACCTTGTTATTGATCATTACCAAAAATATAAGCTTTTGGATAATTAAAAAAAAAAAGAGTTGTCAATCTACCACAAGAATGAGTAGAGGAAAATAATCTACATTAAATAGGATACAGCACTCAAAGATGTTGATTTGTATTTTCTTGAAACACAAGAATTTACACAGGCCCATAACTTCAGCTCATCTTATTTTGTAACACCTGACATTTTTTAAAGATACTTTCTTTACCACGAAATACAAATTAGCAGAACTGCATATCCAGAACCACCCACGACATATATGGTCCTCATCTTCATCTATCTGGTGTGATCTTAGGTCATGGGTCCCTTTCCTGTTCTTTTTCATCCTCTTCCACTAAGTAGACTTGAGGCTGAAACAAGAGACTTAATCCTCTTATGTCTGTGCAGATCTCTCTTACACTAAAGTGGGCAAAAAGTGAGTTCACAGAGGTGTCAAGATTCCTGCTATTGTAAAGCTCCACTTAGGAAATAAAATTTTCATAGTACTAGATACATTTCTTTAAAGTAATATATGGAAGAGAAAGAAAATGTCATATTCACCTTAGAGTTGAAAGCACTCTGTTCTCCACAAACCATTCTCTTACAAACTATTAAAGGTCATTACTTTCCTCAAGTGCTAATCAAATGGGTTCCATGGCACTGTACGTACCCTGAGTGGCTGTTGGAGGTAGCTTGAGCGTATTATCTAACTTCTCCCAAAGGTAAGTGGGTCGAGGGATGCCTTCCTCTGAACTACACAGAAGGATGACGTCGCTGCCGATGTCCTGGGATCCTTGGATTTGGCAGTGTGGAGCAGAAGGGGGGACTGTCATGGGAAGAATGGGTAACACAAGTTCACTTTTACTGGGAGCCAGTGAGATAGGAATGCTCATTACTGGGGAACAGCAGGCAACGACTGTACATCACCTGGGAGACTGCCTCATGGCAGAAGCCAGGCAACAACCAAGCACAATACCCAGGATGGGGATAGACACTAGGCCTGCAAGTGGCATAGGCATGGAGAAAATCTACAAAAGGAGCCATGGCTTTTGGTTACATTTTAAGATATCTTGGAGCCTTGGTTTGAATGCTCCCTCTAAAGAAGGATTCTTAAGAGCCTTTGGGTTAACACACCACCTTTAAAGACATTCCTAAAAAGACACATTCAACCCCATTTCACTAGCAGAAATCCACCCCATCAACTGTCCTCTAACAAAATCCACTTTAGTGAGGTGTTCTAATATTTGACAAACAGCAGATGGGCCCACTTTATAGAGAATCCAGCTTTATGGGGCAGCAACTTTGCAAAGGCTCAAGTTAGAGAAAACCAACAGTAAGGCAGGAAAATTTCAAAATTGTAAACATTTTATACTCATTTAAAGACTGACAAGGACATATGCAGCAAGAACAGGAAAATCACCAAAGCAAGACCAAAGTGGAGAAGTACATCAGGAGTGAACACACAAACAGAACCCTGCACAGGGAGCTCCACGCCATCGAGGCAGACATCGCTGGAGTGTAAGTACATGTGATGATGTTCTTAATCCTAAAGCCTTTTCTCTCAATAAATGAGTTCACTCCTTCAGAAACACGTGAATCCAGCAGTGCAAACTGAGTTAGAGATATGCAGAGCAACCAGGTACTAAGCAAGTAGGAGAGGAGATTTCAGTAACCAGAGGGTACAAGGGTCCGGGAAGGTAGCTCACTGGCAGAAAGCTGGCCTAGCTGCTTCAGGCCCAATGACACAAAAGAAGGGAGAGGGGTGCAAGCATCTGAGTAAGGATCTGTTTGTTGTGAGGGGGTAAGCAAGCCTTGTGGACTAGTTCAATTCAATGATATCACTATGCTACCAGGAAGCAAAACCTGAAATAATTATTCTGAGGTGACACTAACTATAAAATAAAAGGGTTTTGTCCCTCTGCCTCCCCCCCCTCCACACACATACTTTTTTAAAGCTTGGATGACGTGGGGAGCCAGTTGCTCAACTATCAGATATAAACATCAGAATAGCATCAATTTCTATTATTATTCCATATGGTACTCATAATATGTAGAACTTTATACAGCTTCAATGTAATGAATTCTATTTTCAGAAGATAAATCTCTAACCTGTTCCTCAGCTTTCTGAATTGTTGGAAGTCTGGGAGACCAACAGGGCACCAAGGGTTAAAGCTTAGTCTCCCTTAAAGAGGAAAGCCATTACAACTCCCAACATCAGTATCCTCAAGTAACCCAGTGGGAAGACAGAAAATGGGGTGAGGGGGGGTTAGACAGGACTATGGAGGTAGATTCTGGGACCTGAGCAGGAGAGGAAGGGCCTTCTCTGAGTAGTTCCCCTTTTGTCCAAATGCACTGAATCCACTCCTTCTACCACAAGCATCTATTTGGTAGCCACTTCTACAAGGAATCCATCTGAGACATGAGAAATGAGACACCAGTCAGCTGCAGTGGACATAATTTAGTGGCCGCAGAGTCTAGCCACATTGTACGATAGGGAGGATGCTGAGCAACATCCAAATTTTAATCTCCACTTTGCTCATTTCTTGTCTTAAAGGACAAGGCCCTAAGTAGAGCTGATCTCCTTTGAAGGCGATCATCTGGTTTACTGCAGAAACAAGGATGTTCTTAAGAGTACACAGGAGTAAAGTTAAAATTATGTCAGAGCCACAGGTGCAAGCTGAGAACTATGGTGACCCCACTTCCTGTCACAGACGTGCTCTGTAATAACATTATCCTCACACATGCTGAGAGCTCTACTGCTTGCTCACAACTAGTCATGACTGGGTTTTACTTCAACAGAAGATTCTGCCCTATAGACCCTAAAAATGATCTTTCTGCCACCCTTAAACCACTGTCAGAAAACAGCACCAAATAGTAAACTTAAGAGTGTTTGGAGACGTAAGAGTGGGAAGAGAATGTAAGAAGCAAAGGGAAGCCGAGGAGCATTGAGAGTGAGAAGGTAAGCAGGGAAGGAACTAAGACTCAGGGAGGGAGCACTAAATGAAATGAGCACGCTTCAGAGTAGATTTGTATGTGGTATACAAGGTAGTGGGACTTGCCTGTCACTCACCTAACACCGTGAGGCCAGTGACCCCAATGTTTCTGCCCCCTCTGTCTGGAAGGTTATTCACCAAGCACTGGTAGGTGCCCGTATCTGACAGCTGTGTGTTATTGATGAAGATGGAGACATTGGTAGCAGGCATGGTGCCTGTAAATCCTACCCTCCCGTGGAACCGGAGGGCACCATCAAACATCTGTCCACCCTGATAGAGAATGACCTTAAAAAGGAAACAATATATCAGTAAACCATAGTAGCCCCTCCTTGTCATATAACCTAGTAGACAGAACCAAATATACCATGAAAAAGGATGGAAATTTTAATTTCTCAGGGTTGCTGGCAACTTCTTGTATCTTCTGTGAGCAACCTAGGACTCTAAATTCCCACACTCGAAGTTAGAATATCTTTTTTTTTTCCTTCCTTAGTTTATCAGAAAATATCTTTAACGCTACCAGACTATTAACACATAAATATTTCTGCCGGTGAAAATGTTAATTGCAAGATGAAATTCAAAAGGCATTGCTCTTCTCCACTGATTAGGCCACAGAATGACAGATCACTCACTGGATAAATAGCGGGACCGTAAAAGGGAAGGAGCTTTGCTGGCCCGTTATGACTGTGTTTGCCAATTGCTATTTATCAGACTTAACTATTCTTGGGAGAAGACTCAGCATATAAGATAGCAGAAAGCACTCCCTGTGGGCCAAAATTGAGGCTCTTCCTGTGCGTGTATGGGAAACCTTAATCGGTTCTTTTTTCAAAAAACATTTTAACCCCCATCACTGAAGCTTAAAGTGGTGCAATTCAACAGAAGATCTCAAAAGTTTAGTCTACTGCAAAAGTTCCATGGTTTGGAGACACACGGTATATCAATGTATGCAATTTTCAAATAATAGATTAAAAATTAATATAATTTAAAGAAGATTTTATTGAATATTGTACTAGAAATTTTACTTCACTAAATACAGTAAATATCAAAATAGAAAAAGAGCTTCAAAAACTTGAATGTCATTTTTGTAAATAAAACTGTGATGCTTACTATAATTCATTATTTTTATAGTAGGTATCTGAGATTATTAATTTATTTTCTATAACTGATAGAGATTTCTGGGGGCAGCTTCCATTTTCACATGTGTCCCTCTGGGTGGCATACTCTCATTTGTATAGGATTCTGAGTTGGCGAGTAAGCCCGCTGTGGTGATTTGAATATGCTTGGCCCATGGGAAGTAACGCTATTAGGAGGTGTGGCCTTGTTAGAGGAAGTGAGTTGCTGTGAGACTGGCCTTTGAGGTCCTATGGTCAAGTTTCACCCAATATGGAAGATATCCTCCTCCTAGCTGCCAAAGGTTTCTTACTATCATTGTTCTCTTTAGAGAGGACACTCTAAGCCACGTAAGTTAGTGCCAATCTCTTCCTGAAAGAACAGATCTCACTTTCTCTATCTTAGTACTTGTCTCTCAGCAGTGTTTTCTTTTTAATACTGAAGGTCCAACACAAAGCCCTCAGAAAAAGCTCGTTAGTACCTGCTAGTGAGAGGGAATATGAAGACTTCCCTTGTAAGAGGAGGACAGCCTTATCAGAATATTTAGTAATAACACAGTAGGGGAGAGCACACTGACCCTGTCATCTTATACTAAAAATCAAACACATCACCATGATGCTTCCCTCCCTATCTCTTCCACAGGGATCCATAGTTTAGAGGCAGAACAGAAGTACCTGTTCGGGCTGGTTTGCATTGGAGAGGGGAATGACCATCCAAATGACATTGAGGTTCAGGAGGGCAGCACTGGTGGAGAAGGCGCAGGGTAGGACTGCTGTCTGTCCCCGGGCCACCTGGACACTGCCTGGGCTCTCGGACACTTCCAGGGATGCTGCAACACCTGTAGAGGAAGGAACAATTTGGTTCCATGTTTGTCCTGTACTAGTATCTCTGCGAGAACCACAGTATCACATCACAGCCAACCTGCATCTCTGAACACAGGACAGGATAGTCTAACTGGAGAACAACTCACTAGTCGCCGAGCCAAAGGAAGAAAAGTGGCTAGACTTTCACATCTTGGAAAGTGAATTTAAAATGTTAGGGACCATATATTCTCTTTTATTAGGCAATAACCCAGTATTTGAACAAATTCAATATTCTATGTCAGTTTGAGCAGAAGTGGATAAATCCTGAAAAAAGACATGACATGAATTGAATTTTTAAAGCATCATTACAGTAGCACACCACAAAACTTAGTGCTTATCTAGGAGTTTAACAACATATGTGCACGTCTTTACGCTAAAAACCACATACAAAACATGAATGAAAGAAGTAATGAGATCAAATAAATGAGAGATATATGGTGTTCATGAGCCAGTAGATTCAAGGTTAATAAAAGGTCAATTAATTAATTCTCCCAAAATTGATAAAATTCAGAATACACACAATCAAAATACCACGAGGCATTTTAAGTAGATGGAAAGGAATTAATTTTAACACACACAGAGAGAAAAGAATCACAAAGAATCAAAAAATAATAATTAAAACAAGTCATTAATGACTGGAGAGATGGCTTAGCAGTTAAAAGCATTGGCTGCTCTGCAGAAAAGCCAGGACTGATTCTTAGCTCCCACATAGTGTCTCACAACCTCTGCTAACTCCAGTTCCAGGAGGTCCCACATTCTCTTCTGATCTCTGCAGGCACTGCACACACATACTGCAAATACATACATGCTCAAAACCACACATAAAACATCAGTGAAAGAAGTAATCAGATCAAATAAATAGGAAGATACACAGAGTTCATACATGTAGGCAACACACTCATCTGCATAAAATAAAAACAAACAATTTTCTTAAAACAATGTTCATCCTATCTGGTTTCAAAAGTCTACAAAGCTGTAACAATCAAGGTAATTAGAGTTAGTTTAAGAAGTGACTTATAAACAAATAGCACAGGACTGGGGGGACCTGGCATTCATGGCCAGACACTTCTCAACAAGGTGCAAACAAAACAAAAGAACCAAAGGGTTTCTCCTCACCACCAAATGGTGCTGGAATAATATGGCAATGATATATAAATCAAAGGAACCTATACCTCTACAAACAGCATAGGAGAAAATGTCAAGTTACTTTGGTATAATTAGAGAGCTCTTAGAAGTATCACTAATGCTGTGAATCATAAAGGAGAACAAACCAGTAAAGACAGCTCATTAAATTTAAAAATCTTGGGATTGGAGAGAGGTTTTAATGGTCAAAACACACATACTGCTCCATTGGAAAGACCTGGATTGGGTTCTCAGTACTCATGTGTGTAGAAGTTGGTCACAATGGACTCTAACTCCAGTGCCAGGCATCCAACACTTTCTTCTGTTCCCTTCCGGCACCTGTGCACATATATGCACATAGATACACACACACACACAGTTTATAATAATTAAATCTAAAAATACTAAAAAATCTTTTTGCTACTAACAATTTAAGAAAATATAAAGTTCAAAATATAGCATGAGAGAAATTTAAGTCATATGTTTTACAAAGGGTTTATATGCAAAATATATAAAAAACCTCTGAGAATTCATAATTCTCAAAATTTGTGAAACATAATCGAATTTTAAATGGATATATACTATGGTTTCCATAAGAATAGACCCATAGATTCATATATTTGGCTTCTTAGTCACCAAAGGAGTGGTATTATTTGGGAAGAGTCAGGAGGTATGGCCTTGTTTGAGTAGGTGTGGACTTGTTGGAGGAAGTGTGTCACTGGGGGTGGGCTTTGAGGCTTTAAAAGACCCAGTCTCCCCTGTCCCTCCTCCTCCTCTCTTCTTTCAGATCAGCTGTTGTTTTAGCACCAAGCAATGCCACCATATTCCTAAGCCATGATGATAATAGAACTGGCTGCCTGAAACTGTAAACATACCCCCAGTTAAATGCTTTCTTTCATTAGAGTTCTACAGTTGTGGTGTCTCTCAACCGCACTAGAATACATAGAACACTATGTCAATATCTAAGCCACAATACCACTGCACTTCTACTGCAATGGCTACCATCAAAACCATACTGAGTGCTCGTTAGGACTTAGAGAGAAGGGAGGCTCATGTATTGCTAGTAAGAATATAAAGACGAAACAGGCACCTTGGAAAATAGTTATACATTATAGTTATAACTATACATCATAGTCATATATTATAGTTATAGAACTATAATAAGTATAACATAAACATATGATAACTTAATTCCATATCTTAGAACTCTAACCCAAGAAAGTGGAAATATCTATTATACGAATACATGTCCATAAATATTGAAAGCAATATTTTTCATATATGCCACCAAACATAAATAAAAGAGGTGTCCAAAATCTAGTGAATATACAAACAAGGAGTAGTTCTGCATACAGTGGAACAAAGTTCAGAAATACAGAACTGTCAATAAATGTTACAACCAGAAAACAAAAACTAAAATACGCCTAGCATATCAGTCCATATGTACAGAAAAGTACAGAAATTGCAGCTCTAAAGAGACCTGAAGCAGCCTCCAGGCTGTGGGGGCCAGAAGGAGAGGAGCAAGGGACAGTGTAGCCAAGTTCAAGAGGCTTTCTTGGAATTTGTAGATTGTTATGGTTTGTACACCTCTATATACATTTAGTAGAAATCAACGCATGTTGGACTTTGAAGGAGTGAATTTGTGGAATGGAAATTATGCTTCAATAATGGTGTAAAATAAAAACACAAAAGCAGGGACTCATCAGAACTGACTTTCTGGAAGTCAAAACAAAGGTTCTTTTTCTACCAAGAAAGCCAGCCCCACCCCCATGCATGGTAGAACAGTGAAAACAAATGCAGACTAAACAGGTCACAGAGACCCTCAAGAAGGTTCTTCTACATCATGAAGAGTACATTAAGTTCAAGGTAACATTCTGTTTAATTTGGCAATGATGTTATCTTAATCCTTCCTCCCTAAGTTAAAGCATGGGTAACACCTTCCCTCCACAGAACTGTATGCCCTTCACAAAGTCTGGTTATGTTCTCGGGGGTTATATTTTCATAGAGTAAGCCACCTGTGACTGAGTGTAAAGCACTGGATAGGAGCATGGAAAGTCCTTAAGTTAGACAATCACAGGGGAAGCAGTTAGACAAGAGAAAAGATGGGACAAGCTGAAGGTAGTGAATATTCAGTTAACTCAGGACAGACAGGCGGCGAGAAACGTCCATATTACGATGACCTGACTCATAAATGCCACATCACAGACTGACAGGGTCAAGGGCTGAGTGTGGGCAGAGTGGTGCACAGCTCTCCAGGACAGAGGAGTTGAAGACTCAGGCCAGTTTAAGCTGCAATGATACTCTGCATGGACAGAAAGGAAGGGAGGATGAAAGGAGGGGCAGAGAATGGAGCTGAGCGTGACAACAAAGTCCTATAATCCCAGAGTCCCTAAAGCAAGAGGACTGTGGATTCAGGACAGCCTGGACAAGACCCTTTCTCACAAAACAAAACAGCAGTAGCCAAGAAGCTCCAGCACTGCACTCTTCAGACTGCCCAATACAGAGGAGAAGCACACACCACTCTACCTGTGCAAGGCAAGGTTCATCATCCATCCTCAAATATGCTAACTTCAAGCTCAACTCATTTCATTTTAACACAAATTTTAAAAAAATCAGTGAAAGTTAGAAAGAGAAATTGCCCAAATAGGGAGTGCAGAAGGGAGAGGTGGGGCAGGGGTGGGGCAGGATGGGGCAGGGAAGAGAAGCCTGCTAGCCAGAGAAAGCCTCTGAGGCACTTATACTGTATTTACATTTTCACATGATCTATTCTTCAATCTCCCATGTTGGCAGAGCTACAGAAGAAACAGTCAAGACAGCTCCCGGAACTTGCCGAGGAGCAGGGAAAGCTGTACAGGTCTGTTTGGAAATCTGGCTCTTGATTCTCATCATCTGTAGAGTACCAAACAAGTCACATAATCCCTGAAACTTGGTGCTTCATCTGCACAAAAGGCTTATGCTGCCATCCTCTCACCACAGGGTAGGACGGGTGCTCAGTACCACCATGACTATCCTTGCTGGCTAAGCAAAGAAGCCCACTGACCGCCCAAACCTACAGTGGATACTATATGCATGCATTTGCTTACTTCTATAAAGACCCAAGATAGGACTCCCCCACTTTGAGGCCCTTTCCATCCCCTTGATGGGAGCTGCTTATTCTAATAAAATTTGTTCCCCCAGAAAGGGGAAATAGAGGCCCAGAGAAGAAATAAAAACTGTTTAAAGGACACATAACCATAAGGTTAGAAAATGTACACTCTGGATTTGAACCAGGCACTTTCTCTATAGAAAATATACACTACAATGTCTCAAATGTTTATGATCACTGCATTACGCAACCACAGAATTTAGAACAATAATGGACTTTTACGTAAAACCATTAGATGAAACCCCCTCAGTCTCCTCACTGTAAACCTAGGACTCAGCTCCGCCTGCCTCACCTGCCCCTCTCCTGTTAGAGAAGTTTATCTGGGGCCTCCCTACCTCCTACCAAGTGAGCTCTGAATCCCATTCCTTTGGTCCCCTTAGTAACCAAGCGGCAGACTGCAGTCCCTCAGAGCTTCAAGGCCTCCAAGCTCTGCAACTCCCATGCAGCAGTGAAACACTCTCAGTATACTATTTCAAAACAGTCCCTCCCTCCCTGCAAGGCATTCTGCCACCCCACAGGATCAGATTCTATATGTGACTCTTGTTGAAGAACAGTCTATTCAGGCTCTCTACTGACTACTCTCTCCCTGAGTCTTTGATCCACTCCTACCCAGCCACTTCTAAAAGTAACTCCTCCAGCTTCCCAGAAACTTGGGGCTACACAGTCTTTGTGATCTCTCTTGTACCCTCAAGGTCATCTACCAGAGGT